TGAATGGCAGCAGGTCAGGACACCTCAGGCTGACTCACTGGCAGCTGACACAGCTTAGCTCTGATGTGGTGCACAGACCTGAGCAGACTCGCTCCGCTGCAGAGCTCCCAGCTGCAGCCACGGGACAAGGTGGCAGTGCTACTGCCACTGCTGTGCACAGCACCCAGCTCTCCCCAGTAAATCCCTGCCTGGCACAGCAACAAATGGCATTCCCTGCTTCCAATAATCCTGGCCAAAGACTGCTTTTTAAAAGCCTAAACAAAGGCAGACAGGAGAGCGAGCACATTATGGTAAACCCGCAGATCATGTGAAACACCGAGTGGAAGAAAATTCTTCTGAGTTTGCATTTTCAGAATAGCAGGAGGGATTTTCTTTTATGTGAATTTGCTGTTTTCTACAGCCAAATTAGTTTCTCTTGCTGAGAAACATGCAAAGGAGAAAGGAAGCACCACTTATGTCTGAATCAGCTAACTGCCTGGCCATATCAAAAATAGGAAACAGCTACAGGAGAAGAGAGACGAGCAGTAAAGTTGTGCTCTACATTTGAGCAGATAATAGGAGTGCTTGGACTATTTTGTGTTTACTGTGCATCTTACAAGGTCAACATGTAGACTGAAAAACACTTTCAGCTCTCAAGGACTTTACTCACAAAACCCCTGAAGCAGCCAAGTCTACCCCATGCCTGTCTTTTCTCCCCTTGCTTTACTTGGTAATATACGTTGAAGCATTTAAACAAAGTCAAGAACTGGTGTTCCTTGAGGCTTCATCTGTTTCTGCTGGTTTTTTCCCTCACTTAAAATCAATTAGTTGTTCAGGACAAACTATGAACAGAAGATCTGTCTTAAGGAGGGAAGGAATGAAATGGCATAGATTAAATTCTGAACAACAGTGGATCGTACTCTCAGATAAACGCATGGAAATAATAAAAAAAGCAAAATCAAACAAGGGGGAAAACAGCAACACAGCTGAAATGTTCAACTATTGCTGCTGGTTTATGAACTCATGCACAAATGCTTGCAGCAGAGGAAACACCATCAGCTGAAGGATGTATTCTTTGTAACAAGATGCCCTTTGTGGCACTTAGAACACCAACCCTTCTAATACATGCTTTTAAAATGACATTTTAAATGGAATTTAAGTTAAATTAAATTAATTCTCTGGTGCCTATACTTTTCTTACCTCAATGTAGTTGTTTTAGATATATTTATAGACCCTACATAAAAAAATTATTAGTTAATTGAGTAATTAGTTAATTTGTCCCATCTTAACAAAACGTTGAAAACTTTGCAGACTCCACATGGAAATCCAACCTCCACCTCAATCTCATAAACCAAAATTAGTCATTTTCTTCCCTTATCTGTTTGACTTTTAACTCTCCTAAAGACTGATTTGTCAAAGCTCTTAAAAACAAATACCAAAAATGCAGCAAATTATAGCAGAGTTGGACTGTAAGCAAAGAGCCACAGATTCCTTCACGCCACTGCAAAGCAATACTGGAAAATTCTTGCTCCACCAAGCTTTTTGTAGCTCTGGGATGTGGTTCTCTCAGGTGCCAGGGACTATGTCACTATTCCCACTTTTGCATTCACCTTCTGCCATGCCTTCCTTCCACAGGCTTTCCTTCCCCACTGCTGAGGAACTACACACCAGCGGAGGAAAACAAGGGTGCAAAGAGAAACCAACCAGCACATGCAATTAATCAGGAGAGATGGTAAGAAACCAAACATCCTATCTCCCACAGAGACCGCTGAGTCCACCCTGCTCCAGTACAGCTTATTGACTCCACTGTCAATTATTAATTAGGTCATGCCACAAAATGCAGCCTCTGAGAGAATCAATTCCCCACCCCAGCCACTAAAAAGGAAACAATGTGATGACTTCCAAAGACTTTATCTACCTGACACCTCTTGCTTCCTCCAGCCTGCCAAGCTGCTGATCCGGGAACTTAACACAGGAAGGAAACCACGCCAGGAAAACAGGAGAGACGAGATGATGTACTTGAAAAGTCAACATTTCTAAAAAGTCTTGGTCATCTTCATGAGGAAGAATTTAAGTGAGCCATGGATAAAAGTAAGTAAAAGTATTTCATACAAAGGAAAAACCACACAGAATTCCAAGTTGTCTCTACAACAAATTCACAAGGAGAAAGTTTGCCTTACATGACTTACAAAGCATCTTTTCTTGTTGAATGGATTTATATACATTTCTAAATCAGGATGCTTCCTTTACCCTTTTAATACCACACTGTTTAGAGTACAGTGAATAAACATCTCCCCCTGGAAATAAACCAAACCACATCTAATGTATAAGTTAATTTATGACTTTAAATATGAATAGCTAAAACTGAAAAAAAAATTTGTGGAAATATGATGTTAAGTCTGATAGCTATCTTGCGAGAAGTTTTTTTTAATCTCAGGTTTTTAAAGTATATGCTTTCACTGCAGAAACACAAGGCTTCATATAAACAATTCCTGATACTAGAATGTGTTTGCCACTAAGGGACTTAATGCTTGTTTTCTTGGAAGAAATTAATATATATATATATATAACGTAAAAAAAATGTATCACTAATTACCTAATCAACATAATACTAACCACAAAAGAATTAAAATAGGAGCAACTTGTTCCATTGCCTGCCACTCTTTCAATGAAAGTTTTTACTCTCATATCTAATCTGAACCTCCCTCAGTGGAATTTAAGGCAATTTCTTCTCATATTTTCACTTGAGACACAGAAGAGGCCAACCCCACCTGCCTTTCATTTTTCAATTTAGTTTCGCATTGCTTTGCTACATTTGAGGCCTTTCCTTTTGAGCAGAACACCACAGTGCTGCAGGGACTTTCCTTCATATAAACTTGTTTTGTGTTTGGGGAGATTTAATTCCACCCTTGATCCTACTTGTCAGAACTAAATTTGTGTGGAGAGCATATGCTCAACACTGCCTGTTTCAATTCAGAATAGAGGCTAAAATGAAAAGCTGAAACACCTTTGCATGCATGTACCTGAAAAGCATAAAAGATTAGTATCTGAATAGATTTCTTTAATTCAAAGGCCCCTCAGTACACTCTTGTCATGTCTTCCTAATGCTGTTTTAGTGGGTAAGAGTGTTTCTTGTGATTTATTGATCAGTGCTGCAGGAGGTAACAGTTTGCCTTTGGTTTTCTTGTGTTTGGGGCTTTTTTAACAGCAGAGATACTGGAGAAAGTCATCAATCCACTTACTGAAGGGATAGAAATTCCCATTTCAAGCATTTTCAAACACTGACGGAGTGAACAAAAATAATCAGACTGTGCTGGAGATTATGTCAGTTCTACAAACCTTTCTTTTTCGTATTTTAATTTCCTGCCATTTCTCCTCAGCTGTGGAGCAGAGGACTGATGGTGCCTGAAACAAAATGGTTGGATGCTGCCCTCTTGTGAGCTGGGATCCTGCTTCAGAGACTGAACATCAACGACTTCCTAAACCCTTTTTTTTTCTGTAGAAAAAGTGGCCGGTTCTCTTGTCCCCAACTCCGACTTGGCTGTGGAGGCGTTTAGCAGGAACCCCCCACCCCCTGCAGCAGCGGGCAGGATCCACGCTGTGCTTGGTGAAGGCCGACAGCCCGCGGCCCTCACGGCACAAACCCCTGCATTTGTTCCGATCAGTGCCTGCTTCGAGGCCTTTGAGCTGGGGCTGTCAGGAGACATCACAGGCACTAACAACAGCCATCCGGAGCGGCTCTGCTGGGTTAATCAGCAGCTGCCCTGTGGCACAGGGACAGGAGAGGCTGTGAGGAACCGCGGGGCTCTGACGGTTCCTCCCGCCACAGTCCGAACGTGTCAGAGCCGCGGCTCGGGTGCCCTGTCCCACATCGCTCCCGCCTCTGGGCTGAGGGAGCCGCTCCTCCGGCCCCGACCTGCCTGGAGCCTTTCCCAAAGAGCCTTCCCCGACCCCCCTCAGCACCAGCACCTGAGGGGAAGCCTGTCAAGCAAACCGCGGTGGGTTGTTTTCCCTTCCAAAGGTCTCATTTTAACGCAAACGCGCTCGTACAGCGCCAGATCCGTGCCCGCCCTCCCCAGCGCCGCGAGGGCTCGGGCCGAGCGCTGCCCCGGCCGGCTCAGGCGCGGCGCGGGCAGCCCGCGGGTCCTGCGGGGCGGTGCGGGGCGGCATGGCGGGGCCGTGCGCCATGGCGGCGCTGCGGGCGCGGCGCGGGGCCGTGCGGGGGCTGTGCCGCTCGCTCTCAGGTACGCGGGGCCGTGCTGCTCACTCTCAGGTACGCGCTGCCCGCGGGGCTCGGGCGCGCTCGCCGAGGGTCCCCCGAGCCCTTCCCACCGCCCGCCGTGGGGTCCGCGCCGCTCCCCGCTGTCCCCTCCGCGGGGCGAGGGCGGTGCCTCACCCGTGAGGGCGCTGGGTGCCTGTGCCGGAGCCCATCGCTCAGCCCTGCGCGCTGAGGGTCCGCGGGCCCCGCCGTGCGGGCTGTGCAGGGGGACGGGGCTGCCCGGAGCAGACAGGGCCGGCCGTGCCGCCCTCACCGGCCCGCGGTCCGGGCTGGGCGCTCGCTGCCCGCCCTGGCGGTGACAGCCCCGCAGCAGGAGCCGTGCTGTGCCCTCATCGCTCACCTGCGGCTTCTCCGCCGCCTCGCACCGCGCCGGCACACGGGGCTGCTCCGCGGGAGCCCGAGCTGGAGCAGGACCGGCTTCCCTCACACCGCCCTGGCCGGCACGCCCGGGCCTCGAGGGTGACCCCGCCGACAAACCTCTGTCAGGGCCCTCTGCTGTGCCACTGAGACCTGTGTGGATCCCGGCTGCCACTGTCCCTTAATGCAGAAAGAGCTTCTGGGGACAGGCTGTAAAAATCTATTTTCCTGCTTTGTTTGAGCTGCTTTGTTTTCCGTATTTCACTCACAAGACCAGACAAGGTAGTTTAGTGAAGAAACACGATGCCATAGTACAGTCAAGGAAACCCAAATCAGCAAAAATCAATTGTGAAAAGCAGCGTGCTCTTTGATATTGCCCTTACATACCTCTCCCATCTGCCTCGTTTCTCTGTTTTCACGTCCTCTTCACAGGAAAGAATGAGTATGATCTTCTGGTCATTGGTGGAGGGTCTGGAGGCCTTGCTTGTGCAAAAGAAGGTCTGTATGTATAAATAACTTGGTTTGGCTTCAGTGATGTTTAAGGAAGCTAAGGGAAGTGTTACAGATAATCCTAAAGCATTTTAAGAAACACAGTATACTTCAGTACCTGCACATTAATCATTAACTCAGCTCCATTCAGTAAAGCTGCAAATTAATTCACACCCTGAGGTGGGGTGATCTTGTTTGGCTTTCTTGTTAACCTTTTAAAAAATACTTCTTCATTTGTCATGGGAAAATCTAACAAGCTTTCATTTCACTGTTGTTGTAAAATGCTCCAAGTAATAGATACTGTAAAGATTTCTAATGATACCATTTCTCATTTATGTGTTAAAACAACAATCCCTTTAGGCTATTTCCAAGAACTGTTTAACTGCTGTAAAGAACCTTGGCCCTTTGCAGCTCAGTGTAACGTGTTCAACAACCCACAGTGTTCTTGAACATCTCATTTGAGGTCAGATTGCATTTTTAGGGTCGGTGGAAGCTGGAGACTCTAGTCTGGGTTATTAAGTGTCTTCTGGAGAATTTGCTGACTACATAGGCTGGTTGGGTCCCTGGTCTGGTATCTTGAGTTAGATACCAGGCGTCACCTCCTGTACTCTTTATCTGTACCTGTGCTGATAAAAATGTTTAGATTTGTGTGTTTCTCCCTCCTCTAAATACCTCATCTTGCTTTATTGTTTAAAGCTGCTCAGTTTGGAAGAAAAGTGGCTGTTTTGGATTATGTGGACCCTTCCCCACAAGGTATGGATGAGAAATAATGGGGTAACTAATAATAGCTGGAAATGCAGGTAAAGCAGTTGCCTAGGTGAGCAGGTTGTTCCAGACAGCAAAGGGGCCAAAGCTGCCTGCTTTGCTCGTAGTGAAAGTCTTTAAGCCCAGCTTGCAGCACAGCTCATGCTCTCTAGGATGTCCCTGCTGTCCCTGCTTCCCCTGCACATTAGGCTTGTTGCAGTGTTTGATGCTACCATTTGTAGTAGACTTTAGACTTAAATAAGTGGGAATATTCTCTCTGTCAAAAGGTTATTTAAAATTTCTAAAAATTATGAATTGCATCATGTTGAGGCTCTTCATGTACAATGTATAAAATAAGATCTGTAAATGTAAATGGTTAGTGACTGGATTTTCAGAGCTCTGAGAGACGTCTTGAGGTGGTTTGAATTTTAGAAGAAAAATATACAGAGATGGTTTTTATCAAAGCAAATGAACATATAAAGAAAGTTAGGAACTGGTCTCTAGGAGATAACAAAGTATGTGTTGTTTCAGAATTGTTTAACTGCTGTGAACCCAGTTGCACTGTTATACTAATCTGATGCCTTTACTTTTTCTTTTTTTCCTTCTCCCCAGGAACCACATGGGGACTTGGTGGAACTTGTGTGAATGTTGGCTGCATTCCTAAAAAGCTTATGCATCAAGCAGCCCTTTTAGGGAGTGCCCTTAAAGATGCCCCACACTATGGCTGGAACATAGCCCAACCTGTTCATCACAGCTGGTAAAGATGATTGCCCCTCTTCACTCCTGGGTGCTGCAAATGTGCAACAGTAACTGGCTTTTCACAGTTGGTGTTTCTTGGGGACAGCTAGGGAAGCGAATTTTGCACGTGAAATTTTAGCTTGGTCTTTGTTTAAATCAAAGAGCTATATTTACTGGTTTCTCAGGGCAGGTATGTTGACTTGGACTTGATAATTTCTTTTTATAATAAAAAGTACTGTAGAACATTCCTAATTTCTAGCAATTGCCTGTATCTTTGAGTTGCATAATGTGGATTTGCAAAATGATGGCTTCATGTTCCATTTCTTGTTTTGTGGCAGGTCTGTGATGGCACAAGCTGTTCAGAATTATGTGAAATCCTTGAACTGGGGACACAGAGTGCAACTGCAAGACAAGTAAATAAGCCTTTGAAGTTCATCTGTCTTCCCACAGTCAAGGAGCCGCTGCTCTTGTAGAATTGCAGAACTGCCTTTGAGGTTCCTCACTAGAGATAGTATTTTGAGTTTGTAAGTCCTTTCTGCTCAGGACTGTAAGTGCTCTTGTCAATGTAAGTGTTCTCTTCCCCTCCCACCTTCCTTTTCTGGGAAGCAGTGGTTGGCAGTGAGCATACCTGAAAGCTTTCTTGCAGTGCAGTGATCAGGGGATGCTCTCTTTAATCTGGAGTTTTGCATTAATATGAAGTAATCAGGGTTTCTGAAGTTACTTCTGATCTTGTCCCCCAAAATTTCTGTGCCATACAAACCCACAGATAACACATAGTGCTAGAGCAGCAGATTTTTTTTTTACTTTCAGTGCAGAAAGGGTTCCAAGTTTTTCAGCGTGCAGTTCCTTTTATAGAGAAATTATATTAATAGAAAATTTAGCAGGTTCTAGTCTTGTGACTCCTGCTGAGTCACTCTTCTGTGCCCTAAATGAACACTGTGTTAGTAATGCTATAGATAGTACTAGTGATGCTATAGCTAGTGGAAAATGTCATTTGAAGAGGTCAATAAGCCTGATCCCAAAGTGTGTTACAAGGTTAGTTACGTTGCTGTATAGAGGAGTCAACTGTGACACAAGAATTAGGTGGCAAATTATGATAGAGCTGCCAGTGTTGAGTGCCATGAAATGAGATGCTTTGTTCCTTTTACTGCTCTGTGCCTGTTTGCTGCCTTCTTTAGCACTTCTGACACGGAAAAAGTAGCTGATTGTATTTCATACCTGTTGTTTGTTAAGTGTGCATTGCTGATGCTGTTTTTGCTTCTGCAGGAAGGTGAAATACCTCAACATGAAAGGGAGTTTTTGTGATCCCCATACGGTCCGTGGGTTGACAAAAGCAGGTAAAGAGGTGAGCTGCTGTGCTGCTTCTGCAGTGCTGTTCACTTCCAGCCTTTCAGGGCAGCTGGGAGTTAGACTGGCCCTTTTCAAACTGCTTTAGGTGTTCAGTATTGTTTTGGGGAGGGAGATTTGCATTTTCCACCTAGAGAAGTTGTTCATGAACTTGACAGTTGCCTGCTGAGTCCCTGGCCTGACCTGTCAGGTGCCGTTGCTCTTCTCTGCAGATGGCAATGCTGAGGCAAAAGATGTTATTTGATTTGGTCAGTCATAGTGATGCTCACAGAAATGTCAAGAGAACCAACATCTCTGAGCATTAGGTCAGTCTGGGATGTTTCCCTCCTTCAGGTGATTTGTAAGGGTGATCAGCTTTCTAATACCAAACTGTGTGGGGGGCAATTACAGTGAATGCACAGATTCGAGCAGCTGGGCCACGCAGAGGATTGGTGGCCACTGCTGCATATTTAACAAGGACTGAACATGCATTTTTAACACCTTTTTGGAGTTAATATCTCTTTGAGAGAGCAAAGGCTTTCGGGGGTAGATGTCTAGGATTTTCTAAAAACATGCTGCCTTTGAGGTAGCTTAACTCCAGGCCTGACTTACAGTGATCTTGGTGTGTTTTGTCCTAAGCAGAAATTGGTTTTAAAAAGTTGTTGTTTGTGCATAACTATTGCTTTCAAGTAGTCATCAGAATCTCGCTCAGGATAAGAATAATTGCAAGGTTAGTGTTAGAACAAAACCTGTTGGAGAATGAGTAGGAGAAACTTCTGCATGTATTAGTTTATTTTATCTCCATCCTTTTTTTAATGCACTGCTGATTATGTCTTATAAATAGCAGATGGTAGTGCCAGCTTTCTCATTTATTACTCCTTTGTACATAGATGAAGTCTAAAGACAGATAAAAGATTTCAAATGGTTGATTTTGATTTTTTTTTATTTTTGTTTGTAGATTATTGTTACTGCAGATAATATTGTCATTGCTACTGGAGGAAGACCGAAGTATCCTACACACGTAAGTTACCCTTCCCTCTGACAACTCCCGTGGCTTTGCTGGTTGTGTTGCAGATCACAGTGAATGTTTGGAAAATGTAAATATAATGTAATGGGAGATTTTTTTTTACTCCTGTCATATGAAAATTTGTCTTTATATAAAGGTCAGCTTTTTAGAAAAACATTTCCATAGCAAACAGTTCGCATCAGCTGAGTCTGTTGATGTTGTGTAGAGCTGTGGGATAATTCAGTTTGGCAGTGGTCTCTGCAGGTCCTTTAACTCAGCCTCCTGCTCGAGGAGCTCGGGATCAGCCGTTGAGTCAGGTCACACTGCCCGGGGCTGTTTGGGGATCTGCAGACGCAGAGACTGGCTAACAGCTCTGGGCAACCCCAGCTGTGTCCCCTTGGTGTGCTGGCTGTACCTCAGCCAGTGCAGCCCACACTGCTGTTGGCTGCTGCTGCAGGATGTACCTTGCAGGTGCAGGATCTTACCTGTGTGCTCGCAGATTGCAGGTGCCCCGCAGTACGGAATCACGAGTGACGATCTGTTCTGGTTAAAAGAGTCTCCTGGAAAAACGTGAGTTCCCTTACCATTGCTTTCCCAGACGCTGCCTGGCATACTTTTGCTGTATAGCAGGGGTGAAAAATGTTCAAAATTGCCTTTTATACACCAGTTTTGTTTCTGTTTTCCTTCTGAACATGCGCCTTGCTGTGCATCAACATCACACTACCAACCTTCATTAGTACCTGATAGATCTCCTCCCTCCTCCTCCTATGAAATTCCCTTCTCAAATCAAGTTAAATACGAATTTTCACCCTGTTATCTTGAGGTGACTTGTTTGGTGCAGCGATTACACACAGAGTCACAAGAGGGCAGCCCGAGCTCAGCCAAGGGCTGCTCCGTTCCCGTTCCTCACCACGGGAATGTGCAAAAGTGCTCCTGGATTAGGGAGCAAACTCCAGCTTCATGTTATATTCTCTGAAGTGGTGGCAGTTCTGATAACAAAAGAAAATATGATGAGCCACTGGGGTTACTTTTGCCACTTCTTTTGCTGTGGAAGCTGTTGTTTACCTGAAGCATTAAAATATTGGTGTTAATGGAAATACTAAAACACCATGGTTGGGTTTGGTTACAGCACATAGCACAGTCAGATCCCGAGTCAACCCTGCACTGCAGAGAAATGTCCTGATGCAAAAAATTGTGATAGGAAATGCGTGTTTGCTGGCATGAAAGTCAGATAATACTGTTTTTCCTTTTCTCTACTGAGGAATTCTAGAAAATGCAGGGTATATATAAGGAAAAGAGACTTCAAACTGTAATACTGGTGGTTTTGAAAGAAAACAAAGTTGCCATTCATGATGGTGATTTTCTACAATTAAAAAAATGCACTGTGTTAAGTTAAACATCAAACAGATAAACAAGGCTCCTTGGTACAATTTCAAAAAACAGTAAATTTGCTGTTGTTTGTCGTATATCAGTCACCTCTTGAATTTTGCAAGCATGATTTATGTGAGGAAATTGTGTTTTTTTAAAGAAGAAACACCCACACCAACACCTCCTCCCCCAGAAAAAAAAAAAAAAACAAACCAAAACATAAGATTTATCCCTCTAAGATGTTTCTGTGAAAATGTGGCTTTTGTCCAGTTGCTGCTAATGCAAGTTGTAACAGTGTAATGTGGGAGTCTAGTGTTTATATGTTGCATTCCTGAGATTTAGTCAAAATAAGCCTGCAGGGGCTACAGTAGCATTGCTGTGCTTTATCAGGCTGTGTCTTAGCAAATGGAGGGAGTTGTTAAAGGTTTGTTTCTGTCGGATTTATTTCTATTATAAATATTCCCAAGGTTCAGTTTAACACCTTTTGTTTTTAGTCTGAGCTGTGTTGTGCTTACTCTTTCTTTTCTCCCTCTCCAAATGTACATATCTCAGCTACAAATTACATGCCTGGAGGTTATAGAACTGTCAGTCCTGCAGTTATTCATATTTAAAAAAATAAAAAAGTAAACTGTTAACCAACTTAAAAGTCCCTTAGATACACAAACATTGGGAAGAAATTCTCGCTACTGAGATGAAGGGTTTTGGCAGAGTGAGTTAGAAAAGATGCCTTGAAATGTGTTGAGAATGAGTGAGAGATTGAGCAGGTGTGGACAATGTTAGGTTCTGCTTTCCTGACTTTTCTGACAATGCCCAGGAACCCCCTGCTTTGAACAAGAAATTCTGAATTATGTGGTGCTGATATTATGAGTAAGTGCCAGCTGACATCTATTTTTCATCTTCTGAAAAAGAAGAGCAAACATATGCCCAAATTACAGATATTCTGTTCCCCGTGAATCACCAGCAGATATTTCTGTATGGGCAGCCCTTGCCAGGAGCTCCGTGCCAAAAGAGGGGCTGATCATCCATTCACACATGAATCAGATGCCCTAATGCTGGCAAAAAGGAGTTCCCACTCTGTGAGATTGTTTGCCAAACACAAACCCCAGCCTAGCAGATTTTAATCACCTTAGCTCAACCTGTTCTCTGTACATCTTCAGGAGCTGTATGTTTTTATTGTAGGATAGAGAGATGTTATCTGGGGTCTTTTGTGAGAAAACATGTGTTGCAGTGACTGTGCAGTCCCTGGGGCTGACAGAGCAGCAGCCTCGGTGTCTGCACTGCTCAAAGTGTGAAAGCACCGCTCTTCCAGCTGGGACATGGGGCACATCGGTTTAGGGTAAGGCACAGGGCAACAGCCCACTCAAAAACTTAACCAATGCTTTGTTGTCAGTGGAAATCCTGTGTGGGATTCATCCCCAAAGTGTCTGCAGAGCAAAGTGCAGCCTGTGCAGCAGCTGAGTGTTAATGGCTGGCTGGTTGGACCCACTTCTGCTTCCAGAACAGGGACTGAGCGTCCTGCCTTTGTCCCCAGCAGATGGAGGGAACTGAGGGTCTGGTCAGGAGAGGGAGGGATGTGCAGTGCAGAGGGCAGCTGGGGACAGGCACAGAAACTGCTCTGCTGGAGAGCTCATCCACCTCATAAACTGAAAGTGTTGATGGACAATTTCAGTGGCGTTCTTGGTTGAAAGGGTGTGAAATATGGGGAGAGATGGGAGCTGGAGTTTTATTTAAGAACTGAAGTGGATGTATTTGGTAAATACCAGTCTAGGTAAACCTATTAAACCCATTTTCTATAGTTGTGTACACAAATGTTTGGAGACAGGAAGGGCAAATATTTGGCATTTGGAAAAATAAGATGATTTAAAAGCAGGTGGTTATAAATCAAAATGAAATTTAGCAATGAATAAAATCTGTAATAAGAACTGTAATCTACTTGATGGGAAGGCATAATCTACTTGATAGACTGTCCCCATGTGCTGAAAGATGAGCTGTCAGAGAAGGAGATTGGCCTGGCTGAATAGAGAACTTGGGCTGGAACTCAGGGAAAAAAGGAGTGTTTATGCCCTGGGGAGAAGGGGCAGGGATCTCAGGAGGACTCTGAGGATGTCATGAGGTTATGAAGGGAGAAAATTAGAGGGGCCAAAGCCCAGTCAGGACTTAATTTGCCTACTGCTGTAAAAAACAGTAAAAGTGTTTCTATAAATACATCAGCAACAAAAGGAGGGCTGAGGAGAATCTCCATCCTTTATTGGATGCAGTGGGAAGCGGTGACAAAGGATGAAGAACAGGCTGAGGTACTCAATGCCTTCTTTGCCTCAGTCCTTACTGTTGAGCCCAGTTGTTCTCTGGGTACCCAGCCCTGAGCTGGCAGATGGGGACAGGGAGAGGAATGATGCCCCTGTAAGTCAGGAGGGATTGTTAACAACCTGCTTGGACATGCTACTCCACGTGGGCATGCACAGGTCTGTGGGGCCAGCTGGGATCCTCCCAAGGGGACAGAGGGAGCTGGCAGAAGAGCTCACTGAGCCACTTCCCCAGCAGTGCTGGCTGACCAGGGAGGTCCCAGCTGGCTGGCAGTTGACAGATGTGATGCCCAGCCGGGATTTTGTAACTATATGTGCTTTGCAACTGTATGTGCTTCAGCTCCTTCCACCGCTTTATTCTTTTTTTCTGTTTGTGTAACAGGCTGATTGTTGGAGCCAGCTGTATCCTTTGAAAAGCCTGAGATGATCTATGATCATAAGCAGCATCACTGCCTTTCCTATGAAAGCTCAGTTTAGAGAATCCCTTTGGTCTTGCCATGGAGTTGAGTTGGTGAGAGAACAGTAATAGTTTGCTATGCAGTACCATCGTGGAAATTAAGGTCAGCTGAGGATAAATTCTCAGGATCTTAAAACCAATATTAACTATGAGGAAAGTATTCTAAGACTTCCAAGTTTTATTCTGTACAAAAGCAAGCTAAAGATGTCTGTGTGAGCAGAACTTGGTATCTTTAGGTAAAATTAGCTCTTGTGTACTACCCTTTTATATTGTGTTTATGTGGCATTATTGTTTGTATTTTCCTAACTGGTGCTTCACCAGATGTTTCCCTTGAGTGTGCTGGTTTTCTAACAGGCATTGGACTGGACACTGCAGTCATGATGAGGAGTATCCCACTTCGTGGGTTTGATCAGGCAAGTACGGAGCATCTTACAGTGTGCGGGAGAGTTATTTCCATGTGTCAGAGCAGGAGTATTGCTGTTGGAAGCACCAGTGACAAGTTCCACAGCAGGTAGTGACAGCTCCTGGTTGTGTGCCAGCCCCTTCCAGTTGAAGTGGCTTCTTTGAAACTGGCAGCTTTGTACCTTAAAACTGGGGGCATGAGTTTGCAAGTTGTGTAAGAGCAGTTCTTGGGATTTGCACTCCTGAGTGGGGAAATTCCACCTGTACCAGCAGGAGGGCTGAGCCAGCAGGGAACTGTGTGTGTGAAACTTGCTAAAACACTTGGAGTGGGGCTTTGGGAACCTGATCCTTTGGAGGCAGGAAGAGCACAATGGACATACAAAGGTAATAAAGCATTAACAGAGAGAAAACAGTTCTGGTCAGTCTGCAGCCACATTGAGCCTGCTGGCAGCTGAGCAGTGAGCTCGTGCTCCTGAAGGGACAGAATCCTGCTGTGGCCTTCATGTTAGTTCATTCCAAAATCCTCTCAGCTGGGAGCTTGCACGGAGCTGTTCTCTGTGAGTGGTTTTGTGATAATATCCTTCAGGTAATAAACATACTCTTTAACGAGGTGCAACCTGAATCACTGCAGTCAACAGCAGCACTGACATCTTTGGATAAACCTGTCAGTGGGACACTTTACTGCTGGAGTGTGGTGGGGCATTATTTCAAGCAGGCTCTTAGGACTAAAGCATTATTTCCCTTCTGTAGGAGAACTTGCTGTGAAACCTTAGTGATTAATAATCATTGCAGGGAAATGTCAGGTGTCGTGGCAGAGGGAAATATTTTTCTTCCATTGTTTTATGAAAGTATTTAATTCTCACCAAACTGCCAGAAAATGCTCTTGATGCTCTTTTTGTATAAACAACAAATGATTTAAAAGCAACTGTTCCATTCACATAGCGTTTTACTCTTTTGAAAATAATTTGAGTATTCAGATGTAAATGCCTCTTGGAATGGAGCTGCAGGTCGTAGTGGCTCCATAAATCATCGTATGTTGGCAGTGCATAGTAACTGATGGACAAGGAACGTTTGAAATGTTCACTGTACTTACTGGATTTTCCTGAACACAGCTGAAGGAGGGTTTTACATTAAAAAGGTAATATTTCTGAGCATAAACATTTTTTTTTTCCCCCTACTTAACAGCAAATGGCATCTTTAGTAACTGAGCACATGGAATCTTATGGCACAAAGTTTTTAAAGAGATGTTTCCCAACCAAAGTTGAAAAATTGGAGAACAACAGATTGCAAGTCACCTGGAAAAATACTGACCTGGGCACAGAAGAAACTGATTCCTTTGACACGGTGATGTGGGCAGTAGGTAAATGTGATTATCTTAACATTTATTTGCAATGCTTTCCGTTCTGAAAATGAAGATGCTTTGTGTTGTATGGAGCCAAACACACCCCCACTCCTCTGTATATTAAATACTTAGTGACCTAAACACTGAGAGTTGTTTAATTCTTTTCTTGCATGCCTGACTTGTCCATTTACAGTCTAAAAACACATTAAAGTTACAGTGAATGGGAGAAGTCAATAGTACCTACTTTTGCATGGGCTGCAATAAATGGGGACCATTTACTAGAGAATAAGAATGTGAGTTCCAGCAAGCTCTGTGGTGCAGGTCCTGTCCTCCAAGGCCATACTTCTGTTTTATTCATGAAGCTCTTCACTACAAGTGCATATTTATCCTGCTAAGAGCTACCATTTCTTCTTTTTCTACACTGTGGTGCTTAAGTTTGTCAGTGCAGCCATCATCCAGTCCAGAGAAGGAGAAGTAACTGTCTCTTAAAATGCAAGCTCAGTGCAGGGAACCTTTAAGGGTTCCCTGGGTAAGTCAGCTTTATGTCTTCCTGGGTACCCAAACAGAGAGCAGGTTGCTGGTTTGACAAAGGTTTTCTTTTCCTTCCTCTGACTGCTGTTCTCCTAGAAGTGCAGTGGGCTTCTGTAGACTGTGGAAACAGCCTGTAATAATGGATTATCCTCACCAGAACCCACCAAAGAGACCAGTGCTTGCCACGAGCAAAGAAAAGGTTATGCTATCTGGAGATGTGACGGTCCTGCAAACTGTAGAATAATATTCATGAGCTGAGATGAATATGTTTCCAAAAAGAGGGTTTCTAAATGCTGTGTTTGATTTTCTCAAGTTTCTGGTAAAAAAGCCAAAGCAATCTCTGGTGCTATGGAAGGACAGAGCTGGAGTCACACATGTGCAATGTCAGTTGGTTTACTGTTGACATTTTTACTTTTGATGGAAAGAAGAGCTATCAGATTGAAATAATAAGAAAAAAAATCTCTGGTGTAATTATAATGGAATAAGGTTGCATAATAGACTGTTGCAATGTGAGTCCACTCACTAATTTGCTAGAGAGGGACTACATGTGTTATAATTTTTGTCATAGATTTGAGTTACAATCCATATTTAGAAAGTGCAAAATGAATAGTTTGAGGGTTTAGGGGTTTTCTGTTAGTGTTCACATTGGCACTCCACCCATTAGGATCATTAACAGTTAAAGCTGCTTAATTGATGTGCAGTCCATATGATTCATTGTTTTGCTCTGTATCAACACACCCACACCAGGTGTCTCAGATAATAGGCTGGGAAACTCGGTGGTGTTGAGGATTTCCTGTCTGCAGATGTGCCAGTTACAATACTGATTGAAGCAAATCAGCTTGTAGAGGTAGTTAAAAAGCAGCCCCTGTTGTTAACTAATTGTAGCCTGAATTATACCACATATTTCCTTGATTTCTGTAAGTGCATTGTGGAATTTTAGTAGGATTTTATGAATAATGTTAAAAATATTTACTGGCAGTGGGACATAGTTTGAGTTTGATAAGCTACAGTGCTATCTCTTAATGTAAGCCTTTTAAAAAGATTACTCTTTGTTTCTGTGAAGAATTTTGTTTTGCTGTGATTTTCTGCTTGTATGGATAAGCCAGTAAAAGCAGGCACAATACCCTCTTTGTTTTTCTAGCAGCCTTTTTTTAATTAGTCAAAATATTTGAGGGGGAAAAAAAGAAATCTCATTTTGATATGTTTTAATGTAATTTGAAAGTTTCAATTGAGAGCTTTTGTAGGTAATGTCGTGTAGCTGTGATACCTTGCTGAGTGACTATCCTGAGATACCCCAGCTCAGTCAAAGAGCTCGTTCTTGACCTTTGATTCTGCCTTCTAGCTCAGTAATGTCCTTCTGTCTTGCCTGTGCTGCCCTCTGCTTCTTGAGAATTCTTCTGAAATGATAAGATTTTGAGACTGGTTTTTTGTTCACTATAGAACCAATAAACTTTTATTCTTATATAGTATTCCTCCTGCCCTTAAGGACACACAAAAAGCGTCTGTGTTAGATGCCCAGTGTTCCTGAGCTGCAAAGCACTGGTAAATTCGTGCATGCACAGAGGGAACATGGGGGTCTTCAGCCGTGGCAAAGGGGAGAGGCTGAGTCCTCTGTACCATGTGAGCTGCAGGACAAAGCTGCAGGAGCTCAGGCTTTGTAGGGTGGGTTTGCTTCAGCTCTTGAGGGGCTGAAACCTGTGGACTGAATGCTGCAGTGTCCAACAGCTGATACATAAAAAGAGTTGGTGAGTAGTATTTCCATCTGAATTTGCCATAGAGATCACTGCTGTAAATGAAATTTGATTATTCACAAAGTCCTTAGAAAAGAGACTGAGAAAGACCCCTCTCTAATGGGATCTTGAAGTGTAGAGGAGCAACACTGAACTGATGATTTAACTAAGCAGATTTTCCAAAACCCTGGAATTAGTTTGGCAGAGAATGTGAGGCAGTGTGTTGGTAAACTGTTAACAGAAAAAGCAACGACCAGCGGCAGAGTTTAAGCTTAGCTTTACAAAAAGAGTTTTCCCCCTGCTGAGAGCAGTGGAGCAACCATTCCCAAGTTCGAGTGCATAGTGAGCTTAGAGGAATGCCAGTGTGTCTGGCACAGTATCATCTTTGCTGCCAAAAAAACAACAGCCCTCTGTCAGTGCAGAGCTGAGCAGGTCTCGGGCGTTGCACAGCCCGTGCTGTGCATGGTCCTGGGTCACTCTGGAGATTTGGTGGATTTATTTTGTCCTGCAGGAAAATAAGGGCCTCACTGGATTAACTAGGGAAACAGCAGTTTTGTTTGGAGATGATCTTTGCAAAGTCCCATATGGTAAATTATTGCCGTGATCTCCTGTAGGCCCTACAGAAAAGGGGATGGGCTTTAGATTTGTCTTGGCAAACAAAATCTTGCTATCCAGATTTTAACCTTTGAACTATTCAGTGAAAGATAATGCACCTTGGTTGATCTCAGACAACTGTTAATGTGACGTGGTTTGCTGGGTCTTTGTTCTGAGCTTCCCATGTGTGTCTCTCTTATTAATTTAAATTCATTACTGTCTTGGTAAGGTATGTTTTTTTCTGCAATTGTAATGAAAGTGGTCGTTCCCATTACATCAGCCAATGCTTTGAGTTTTTTTCCCCAATATCTAGTTTTAATGACTTTCAGTCAGACTTTATTCAACAAGGCTGTTTTTAATGTGCTGGTCATTTGTTTGCATTGACAGAGACCCAGATGGTACTTTTCCCTTCATTTGTTTAACTCCCCCATAAACTTGGAGTGTAACTCTTATTTTGTGCTGCTTATTTTACCAGCTTGTAACTACAAAAATCACTTACTCCTGTTGAGGAAAAGTTGTGGAGTAGGCTTTGCCTCTAATCTGCATGTGAAGAAGGTTTTGGATTGAGAACTGTTTCAGCACTAAGGTTCTATTTAAGTTGGTAGGTGATGGCTAACCTTTACCTGAATGGTGGTATAAGTAAATAAAAAATGGTGGAAAATGCTCCAGAGTAATTCCTTGAAACCAGTATAGTTCCTGACATTTTGTGCAGAATACAGGGAATGGTGGTTGGGTGCTGGTTTTTGAGAGCCATCCTTTAAAACAAAACCTTTGGGTGAAGCAAGCCTGGTGTGGGAGAATTCATGTGAGAGTGAACTGGCACAGCCCCACTCACTGCCCTGGCCCTCACAAACGGCCACATCTTTTGTCAGCTTGTGGCAGGCGTGCTGGGAGTTTATCAGTAATGGATGGAAAGCTCAACAGCTTCCTTGTAAAAGTGGTGCACACTGCTATCAGTGTGATAAGAGCTCTGAATTTGGGTTGTACCTTACTCAGTATTACTCTGGTCAGTATTTGATGTAATCTGAACAGTAGTTCCGATGAATTGGTCTTTAATAGTCATTAGCAGCTGTGTCAGTGAACACTTGTGGGTTTGAGGAGGCATTTGAAGGAGGAAAGGGCAGTGTGAACAAGTGTGGGGAGTGTGCAGGGCACAGACACTGAAAGCAGGCCTGTGAGTGGGAAATGGATGTGTTTATTGAAGATGAGATCATGGTGTGTAACAAGTGCAGGAGGCAGATAACCTTTTTAAAGGTAAGGTTTCTTTGGACCTTTCTTCTAAATGACTGGCACAATACTTTGCTGCTTTGAATAAAAGCTGAATCTAATCTTGTGTCTTACACAATCATACCCTCCTGTTCTTTGGTAGTCTCAGGGCAGGGGACATCATCAAGTAAAAGCACACATTCTGACTTTAGGGGAAGGTTGGGGCTTGTGTCCTTGGCAGGTTTGGATAGGTATTTCCTCTGGATCTTAGAAACAAGCTGTAAAGTCATTCTTTCTTGAAGCTGCAGATGTAAAAACCCTGAGGAGTTGTGGGCATGAAATGGGTGTCCTACTAAGAAATGGTGAGAACTGATTCTATAATACCTGTAAGTGAATGTTGGGAAATATCAGAATTTCCTGAATTTGACATTAAAAATTAACAAGATACATTGTCTAATCGTGCCCTAAGCTACTGCATTTGAGATGAAGCAAGATCAGTAAGTGTAATTCTGACTTATGGAGGTGGGCCAGCACGGGGCTAAAGGCCAGTAAAGCTTCAGTTCAGTGTTTTAAAGTTTCATTTTTGCTTTCAGAAATAACATTTAAGCAGTAAAATTGAGAGAGAAATTTCACTATGAGTAGCAGCACGTTTTTTTGTAACTCTTAGCTATTAATACCAGGCTGTACACATGTTAAAATAGACTGGAATGGAAAGGTTAAGTGTTATCCTGCAGATTTGATAAACTCATCTGTTGTTGTCACAGGTCTTTAAGTGACTCAATTGACAGTTTTTCTTTTTTCCCCTTTCAGTGCCTGCCATTGCGTGCTAAGCTTTTCTCTTGGCTCTGCCTGGCAGGAAAAAGGGGAAACTAGAAAACCCCATTAGCTGTCCCTTTGCAGAATACCCAGGCTTTGCTCTCAATACACAAAGAAATACAACGGTAGGAAGTTGTTTCACATCCGAGCCAAGATAAGGTCCTGGAGGTTTATTATTTTTGTTGCCTGATAGCATCAGGACTGGGGAGCAGGGGGCAGAGAAGGAACAGCAGATCAGCATCCCATGGGGACAAGAGAAGGGAAGACAGACAGATAGCCAAGTGCCGACAGCTTCAGTCAGTGCTCCCAGAGGAAGTGTTGGTTTCAGCAGATGAAATTAATACACAGGAGTCTTTACAGAGGCATTCAGATGTGACATTGTTTGAGGGGCCTGCCTATATGGCAGATGTAGAAAGCAGTGAATCATATGTTTACATATAATTAGGTCTGTATTGACAAGCCAGGTTTTCCTTTTGTTTAATAATTTCCTACATTAACATCAAAGGGCTTGTTTTCACACTGAGAACACATTTCCCTTTTTGCTGTGCTCTGCTGTATTAACATCAAACACACATCGTGGCTCACGCAAGGGAGACCCAGAAATGTAATATATCCACATTCACTGCAAGCCTTGAACACAGATGCAGTGCTAGAAATGTCCTTTGGATGTATCCAGGAAACGGTTTTATGTGATTCTCTGCGTCCTTTCAGGTTTTGGGAGTCCCTGGTAATTTCACTGTGCTTATTAACTTTCAAATGCGTTTGAAAAGGTGGATAGGATTGCAGATTGCAATTTCTGGGTCAGGAATTGCTTCCTGAAACACTCGATAGAAAGCTCAGTGTAATGGTAAGACTTCAGTGGTCTAAGATGTAACTATGCAGGAAACACTACAAAAGTGTCTTTTTGGAAGATAATGTGACATCATTGGAAGGGGAAGATGTAATGCAATGTAAGCTTGGTAGGAGTTGCCTTGTGTTTTTAAATGCATTTAAAATACTGTTTCCAAACTCTACAGAAATAGCTCAAATACAGAGTTTGAGCCAACTAACTCAGCACTGAGGACTTGGGAGTAAAGTTGATACAATTTTTCATCCAAAGTGAGGGAACTATAAAAGCTGTAAGATATGTGTGTTCAGATAAGAAGAAAAGAGGAGTTCAGGAACATTTGATATTGAACAGATTATGAACATTTTGTCATCAAGGATGCACAACACACTGTTAGCTTTCTCAGTATGAGAGAAGTTTGTAACAGTCTGCTGGGACTGTTACACAGCATGAAGCTCTTGGAAACCCACAGTGGAGGACACCAGCTTTTTAGATTAACATGGCTGATGTTTTTCAATAGCTTTAATTTCTTTTTTTTTTTTCCTCCCTTAAGGTCGAGCCCCTGACACTAAAACTCTCAATTTGGAGACAGTTGGAGTGAAAACTAATCCTGAAACTGGGAAGATTATTGTTGATGCCAGTGAAGCTACTTCTGTTCCTCACATTTATGCAATTGGAGACATAACTGAGGTACTGAGTCTACATAAACTATTTTACAATAACAGGAAGCCAACTTTGTTCCTGACTAATAAGCAGTCCCCAGATGTCGTCATGCCCCAGCATATATCTCAGTGTTTTGCATTTTTCATTTGGCAGAGCTGTGGTGTTTATGCCAGGCACCTGGGTCAGTAATTTCCTTCTCATGGATCCTGTGAAGTATCTCGGCATGGCACATTATTGCTGATGTTTATCAGGGAGTGCATCATTGGTCAGAGGCTAATAATGATGTCTTTATCCCTTCAATTATCTTCCTAATAATGTTTTTATCACTTTAGACATATGACTTAATGCCCCTGGGAATGCTGAGTGAAAGCAGTTCTTACCTTCTGGGGGTGAACACACTCAGTGGGAACAACTGGGACAAGTTCTCTAATTCCATTTGCAGTGTTTTGGGTGTTAATTGAGACTAAACACAAGGCAGCTTTTCAGCTCTCTGATGCAAAATACTTCTGACGAAAGTATCTTCCTCTAGAATAAGAAAAAAGTAATTGCTGAAAATACTAACTGCTTTTGACTTCTGTTTATAATTTGTGAATGGTCATGCCAAGGAAACCTGAGCTATGGGGGGTTGTTTGTTTGTTTTTTTAAGGAGGGGACATTATAACCTAAGCAAAATAATCTAAATACTGTAGCAACATCCAGACATAACATAAAGTATTATTTTAGAGGCCTTTAAAAGATTTCTCATTCTGACGTGTTTTAACTCTTCCAAGGGTCTCTCAGATAGAAACCCTCCAGGTGCTCTGAGTTTCAGAAGAGATATAACAGGTTAGATAATGTCTTGGGAACAGCAAATTTCTGACTGGACTCTGGAACTGCCAGAGACACTTCAGTCACATAAATCTGCTGACCACTGCTGACCTCTTCCCTCTGTGTAGACATGTGTTTCTTCCTGTCCATCTCCATCTTCTTGTGAATGACTTGCCATTTCCTTTTGAATTGTGTTAAAACTCTTTCCCTTTTAGCTATTTCTGCCTTTTTTTTCCTTCTTACTCCGCACAGCTTCTGTCCTGTCCAGTCACCCAGAGCTTTGGGATTTTGTAGAATTCCTGTCCTTTCACAGGAATTCTTCTTCACAATCACAGGTTCACCTCCCAAGCAGGTTCCCCCTGTACTTGTCACTTCTTGCTCTGGGATATTTCCTAAAGTCCCTGTTCTGCTCCCATGACCTCCTCCACCTGCTTGTCCCCGATGTGTGTGCCTTGCCTGGGCCTCCTGCTTTGCAAACTTCTCTTTTTGATTTCATCCAAGAAGCAGTTGTTAGAGGCAATGCTGACAGGGCTTAGATTCTGCTGCTTATTTTGCTGCCAATCTGCAGTGTTATTTTGGGCAAGTCATTTCCTTTTGGGTGCTTTTTGTCTTCTGCCCTTTGAGGATTTAGTTCAGTAAGAAATATAAAGTTGGAGGCAGGATGCTCTCCTCTTTCTCGCTGTGGATCTAAAAAATATTGTATTCATTTATTTGTCATCTTTATTTTGTAGTCAAAGTTGGATTTCCTTTTCCTGTTTTTGTCTTTATTAGTGCAGGTTTTTGAACTTGAGTTATTCAATAGACACCTCTAAATGGAAACGTGAAAAACAGCAACACAGTTCTGTGCTGTCCAGGGTACAACTGGGGAAAAATGAAGAGCTAAATCAGGTGCTCTGTAGAAACATTCTCTTAAGCTTTTATCTGCATATGGGCTCAATACAGGGAATTAAAGAAATCATGGTACAGTACTCAGACATGTAAAGTGTTTAGAGATAACAGGAATTACTGCCACTATCTTATCTGACTCCAGCACAATGTGAGCTGTGTAATTCCACTTGCTAAGCAATTATTTTATTTGAATACTTTAAATCCACTTAGTCTTTTTTTCTTTTTAAGCAGAATTAATTTAGATACTAAATTTCATTGGCATGGGAGCCAGCAGTGAAACAAGGTTCTGTGTTGGTGCCCATCTCAAAGCACACACACTGAGAATCAGGTGCATCCTGCTGGGAAGCACAGGAGCTGCAGGGCTGGAGGTGTGGTGCTTCTGGGTGGGACCTACCAGAAGAGCAAAGCAAGGGCAATCTTGTTTCCTCTGCCTCAGCATCAGGGATCCTCAGATCGTTAGAAGAATAAGAATTTCTTCTCTGGTGTTCCTGCAGGGTCTCTCTCTGCTCTCCCCTGTCAGATGTCTTTGTTACCAGTAAGTGCTGTTGCTCAGTTTGTCAGTAGTTCTCCAGCCTCGTCCTCACTGCTGAAAAGACACGGAATTGCCACCAAACAGCCAGGACTTCTGTGTGAGTTGAGTGCCCTGGCTGGAAGGGGAGGGGGCAGGGGCAGGCCAGGTTGCTGATTGCTCAGTGCCTGTTCTCATTTGGGAGTCATACCCAGCTGGTACGAACGGCGCACTGTGTGTGCATGGGTGTCTTGTTGCACCCTTGGATGACAAATGGAATCCTAACGTTATCCAGGCTGTTCATTTGGAGAAAAGGGGAGGGGAGAGGGAATCTTCCAGACGTCACTCAGTTTGTCTACCCTCAAAAAACATTTTCCAAGCTTTGACAAAATATTATTCTCAACTGACATGTGGCATTGCACTGTGGCATTTTCATCTTCCGTGGTCAGGGTGAGGAAGGCCGAGCTGGAGTTTTGGCTGGAATTTTTGTCAGTGCTGCTGGAAGCTCTGTGTGTCAGGGGCCGTCCTGCAGCAGTGGTGCTGGTGAAAAGCAGGGCACACACACACAGACACGCTCTCACAAGGAGCTTTATCCGATGTCAGGCCGCTCCACATCTGTCCTGTTTCAAAGGGTGTTGTAACAAAGATGTGCAGAGGAGGTGGAATGTACAGTATGTTGCTTTGAACGGCAATGAGAGCAAAAAGAGTTGTGTTAGAACAAATACACATCACTTCAAAGCTTTCTGAACTCTCTCAGGAGCCATCTCGTTCAAGTGTATAATACATTGGAGGATTCTTGTGAACAATTCCTATCCATAATAATCAGTGGAGTAGTTCTACACATGACTGCAAAGTGAATGTTCATTTCAAATATTTACCAAGAAAGGTCTTTAAGTCATTGTTTATGAGAAATTTGGCTTTATCTGCATGGATGTTTTAGTAATTAGTTGGGTTTTATGGAATGCATGGCAGTGCTTTCACAATTTTATCTCTCATTCCAATCTTCTATTCATTTCTGGAATGCCAAAACAACATCTGTATTTCCTGCTACAGAAATGATTGGCAGCCATGTTTCAGGCAAATGTGGATAAGAAAAAACAAATGGCAAATTTCAGCTGGTAAATGATATTTACAGACTTAAAAGTCAAAATGCTGGATTTAAAAACTTATGACTTGATGGATGTCAGGGGGAAGAAAGGGATATACTTGCAGTTTTGTGATTTGTCATGAGGTGTGGAGGAAAAACAGATCACTCTTCATTAACATTTAGAATTGTAATTTCTGTTATCAGGTTAGACATAATGTTGTTTCAGTTTGGTTTTTTGCAATAGAACTTTGAAGTGGTTCTTAGTACAGATAAAAGCATAAATGTGTATTAACATGCTGATATAGTATGTGTACTGAAGGAAATGCTAATACCAGAGTCTGTCTAGCAACTTGCAAAAAAAGATAAGCTGGGAGAGAAGACTAGATAGTAGTAAACGCTAAAAAACTTTAGGGTAATGAAAATAAGTGGAAACCTTTGAATGTGTGTGCTGGGGAATTCCTGTTTTCTGCTGAAAACTGGTTTTGAGCGTTTATTGAATGATTGCCTACAAACTGGGCTTTGCAGGAGCATGACAAGTGTTGGGTCTAAATAGGACCTGTGTGAATCAAAACTTCACACATTTCACAAAGCATTCCATGTTGTTCCACAGAGGAGTTTCTCACTTATGGCTTTCTTGTATCTCCACATCATTCCTTCTGGATTCGTGGCCTCTTTCCTCGTGTCAGACAAGCATCCTGATGATGTGTCTTGGATGAACTCTTAACTGATGGGGTTTTATTAGATTTATGAATTTTGTTAGGTCTTATTAACTTCCATGGACTTGAAGATACTCCTTTGAAAATGCCTTACTTCAGTCTGCAGAAACTTCTGGCTTCTCTAAAACTGTCACTGGAGTTGTGATGCTCCAGTGGTTCTGTGCCAGCACTCAAAATTGAGGGTCTTGCACACTGGATATAAAAGTACCCAGGGCTCATGGCTTGAACTGGAGCATGTCCTGGTCATGCCCTGCTGTTGTGGCATTTTGCAGTCACAGGAAATCAGTATTTGCCAAAACCAATCCTTTCCAGCTCCCCTGTAATAGCAGAGCCTGAGAGCAGGACCATCTCCACTTCTCCAATCCAAGGCCAGCCTGGGAAGTCAGCAGCAGTGCCTACAAAGAGCTGTGTTTTGTGCCTGGGTTCTGTAAAAATGTGTCAGGCAAATTTTTGTAAACGTTTTGATGTTATAAAAACACTGTTGCTTTATACCAGGCTCTTCCTGCTTTAAAAAGACCATCTGAAAAATTTCTTGATGACTTTCTGTGGAGAGAAAGGGGGAACTGAGCGGTTAGCACGTGAATATGTGCTACTTTTCAAGAGCTAACATGATAAGGTATAAAGGTTTGACATATTTGTGACATTTTTTCCCTCCATGAAGACAGACAGTGAACTCAGAGACTTAAAAGCATGTTTGGAGAGAAGCTATTCTGCCTTCTCTGTTTGAGCCCTGGCTTCCAGGCTGGAATTCCAAAGATCTGGCCTTCCTGTGCCCATCATCCCGGGAGGAATCCTGGGCTCCTGTCTCTGGGTTCAGACAAAGCTGTGTGCTCTCCCCACAGGGCCGGCCTGAGTTAACCCCCACGGCCATAGCTGCAGGCAAGCTGCTGGCCCAGCGCCTCTGTGGCCACTCTGCAGAGCTGATGGACTATGACTCGGTGAGTTCTTACCCCTTTCTTGCACTGCTGAAAATCCCACGCTGCTTTCTCCTTAAGAATTTTTAAAGGAATTGCGCTTTGTCCCCTGGGGTCCAGCTCTGACAGCTGGTGTGTGTGTGCAGAGCTGCAGGTCTGTCCTGCTCCAGTGTGCTGGTGTGTGTGTACAGAGCTGCAGTCTCACTGTGCTGGTGTGTGTGCAGAGCTGCAGTCTCACTGTGCTGGGGTGTGTGCAGAGCTGCAGGTCTCACCAGTGTGCTGGTGTGTGTGCAGAGCTGCAGGTCTCAGTCCTGCACCCATCTGCTGGTGTGTCCTGCAGCTGCTCCCCTGGCTCAGCAGTCACTCCTGTTTCCCCGGGCAGGTCCCTACCACGGTGTTCACGCCCCTGGAGTACGGCTGTGTGGGGCTGTCGGAAGAAGCAGCTGTGCAGTGTCACGGGGCAGACAATGTTGAGGTATGAAAACGTCTGTAATTCTCTGCTTGGTGACACAGTTGCACTGTGAAAAGCCAGAAGTTTCACTGTTGTATCAGGACCCCACAAATACTGTGTTTGCAGTTGGGGAGTTGGTGTGTCCAGAAGTGCTCAGAACTTCAGTACTGCAGCAGGTCACAGTGGCAACTGTGACCTAGTGGGCTAAAAATTAATGATAGCTTCAAAATCGTGTGGCAGCTTTAAAGTAGCTGCTATTTTAGCAAGCTATATTGTGCAGCATCTTGCTGGGCTCTCCAGATTGTTCTCTAAAATAATGAAAAGGTTTTAAATAAATAATTTTTTCTACAGTGGTATAAAGATGTAGTAATACCAGCCATTATAATAGTAAATAGCAGGTTTTGACATAACAGTGCTCTCTAACACAAAATGTTATTGTTTTTCTTACCAGGTATTCCATGCATATTATAAACCTTTAGAGTTTACAGTGGCTGAAAGAGATGCAACTCAATGCTATATGAAGGTGAGTTTGGTGAGCTTTTAACTTGCCTTTAATTTGAAACAAGTGATATGGTACAGCCAGCTTTAAGGAGGACTGTTTGGCAAAAAACCATCTCCAAGCGGATGAGATATTTTCCAGTTGACAATCTGTTTCTTTGTTGTAACTCCAAGTGTTTAATGTTCATTAAATATCCCATTGCATCTTGAAATTGCTTTACAGATATTAGCATTTGTCAGAAGTGACGTTCTGCTGACTAATACTGGCTTTGGACTGCTCTTAAGGTCCTAAGAAATATTTCAAATTCTATAGACATCAGTCTCTGCTTCTCCCAGCCAGGTTTTTAACTGGTTACATGTAATATTTGCATTGCCCCCTTTTGGCAAAGTATACTGCCTTCAAAAAAAGTAAGCATAAGGCTTACAAAAGTAGAGTAACTATTCAGTATTACTCAGGAAAACGAAAAGCTCCTGGTTTAAACCAAAGTGTCAGACCTGAAATATTTCTTCTTCTACAGCTATCCAGTTGCTTCAGTGCTGGAAAGGTTTTTGATGCACTTGCCCTTAGTAGAGAATCTTAGATAAGGTGCAGTGTGGTGTTGGTAGAATATATCATAGTTTTCTTTTTCTTTCTTTTCTCCTCAGCATCAGAGAACAGTCTTTTTTACATAAATTGGTCCATATGATGCAGTATTATATTGTTATTTTTATTAAGAAATGTCCATTCTCAGTCGTTGCAGCCAGTTTTTCTAACTGTGTTTTGTCACGTCTGATTTATGTAAGTGCCTCAGTAACTTGCCTTAAGTGTCCCAAGTACCAGTGCAACTAAGGTGATGCTATTTCATTTTATGTACTGCCTTTGAATTATGTCAGTTAAAGTAAATATTTGAGGGTGAAGTAGTCATAGCATAATAGTTATTGGCAGATATTGGATACAGTCCCTACTAAACTCTCAAAACAAACATTTAACTCGAGTATCTAAAATTCGATTGCAGGAGAGTTTTTTCTTTGAAGCTCCTCAAAATTTAAAGTTACATGTCAGGATTGCTGCTGTTCCTGGCAATTCTGAGGAAAGAACTCAAGCTTTTAGTGAACAGCAGAACTTACTGGATTAGTGATGATTTAATGCTTGATGGGAGGACACTGGGAGAGACTCTTTCTTTCCATAATTCTAAAAATGGTGTCCTGCAAGGAACTAAAAAGTTTTCATTAGGTTCTCTAATAAAAGTGAAGTGTGCAGTGAGTCAGCTCTCCCAGAGCCCTATTAACTCACCTTCATCTTTGGCTGCTGCCAAGGCTTGGCTCCTTTTTGGGCTGCGTGGCCCATGTGGTAAATGTATCTCCCCAGCCACGCTGCTCTGAGGGTTTCCTGCCTGGATCCCAAAGGCACAGAATGCCCCATAGTTGGCAGTGGTGATCTGTGGAAACACAGCTGCTGAGCTGCTGGGAATAACTAACTGCCCAGGCTGCAGTGCTGAAATCCTGGGGATAACTGCCCAGGCTGCAGTGCTGAAATCCTGGGAATAACTAACTGCCCAGGCTGCAGTGCTGAGCTGCTGGGAATAACTAACTGCCCAGGCTGCAGTGCTGAAATCCTGGGAATAACTGCCCAGGCTGCAGTGCTGAAATCCTGGGAATAACTGCCCAGGCTGCAGTGCTGAGCTGCTGGGAATAACTGCCCAGGCTGCAGCAGTGCTGAGGTGGCCAGGCTGGGCAAAGAACACTGCTCTGGGTACGAGACCTCAGAAGGCATTTTGAGGATTTCAAACAAATGACAAACAGCAGAGTCTTCCATACCACAAATTATTGTTGTCAGTGGCTCCCTGAAGTCTGAAAGAAATACACTGATAGACCTTCGGTTCAGCAAAGTGCTTAAGAACAGGAGTGAGACCTGCTGAAGTCAGGAGGACTTCAGTGCGTGAGCTTTTGGCACAGTGGAAACAACCAGCTGAGCCAGGATCCTGGGGCACCTCAGTTGCATTTCATTCACCTCCATTCCTTATCTGTAAGTGTTCTGAGAAGGGATCTCTGTCCTGGATTGCTTGCAGATGGTGTGCTTACGAGAGAGGGAGCAAAGGATCCTTGGCCTTCATTTCATTGGACCAAACGCAGGCGAAGTTATTCAAGGATTTGCTCTTGGAATCAAGTAAGTACAAAAGAATGTCTCCAGCTTCTAAAGCCTGCTTCTTAAGTTATTGTAAGATTATAAAAGATAGCTGCCTCGTTTTGGCAACACTATAAAGAATGAATGCTTTTTGTTACTTTTATCAAGTGTTGCACATATTTCCAGTTAAAATACTGCAGTTCTGCTTTAGGATGTATTGAATTTAGTTACTGTAACACTGGATATAGCTAAGAAACCACTGAGGAAAATATACTGTTGACTTGATCTAGTCAAAGCAAAACCTGAAATTGTGCATTAACTTACTAATTAATGTTAGTGTTTTATCAGTGCAGCCCCTTTTGTATTCTGTGCACAGAATAGGCAATCACCATACAGTTTGGCAAGCTGCTTCTTTTAAAGGGTATTTGTGCTTTTCATAAAAACCTTTCTTTACACCTGCCAAGGGTTTCCTGATCTTATCTTCAAATGTGCACAGCCACTGCTCCTCTAATTGCATGAATTCCTGTGTGCTTCTGAGGTATAAGCTAATCACCACAGAGTGAAAAAGAAACTTCTGCAGGATAATGGGAGAGGGGAGGTACTTTTGTTTGGAGCTATCTGATAATTGCAATACTAAACTTACCCTTTCTGATCTGATCTTGTTTAAGATTTTGCTCAAATATTAATATAGAAGCCCTCTCTTTGAAGGGGTAAGGAATGATTCTGGGTCCTCTCTGGTAAAAGGAAAATTCCTGCTATGCTTCTCATGTGCTACAGTTATTTCATATTTGTTTTTACATTTCCCTTCTTATCTTCCTTATCTTTGGAAATGTTGATTTGTGTATTTACATTACTAAATCACAGTTTTTAACTCCCCCTTTGAAGAAAGTGGTCTGGGACGCAATAAATCACCTCGAGTTGTGGTGTGAGTTCATTTTCCTAATTCTGATCACCATTTTATGGCAGTTTAAGTCTTACAGTTGTGAGTGACTAGCAGAAATGAAAAGCAGAAAGGATCAAGAAGGCAGGACCGCAAGCATCACGTAAGGAATATCTTGGAAATCACTGATTGCAGTGTGCCCTCAGTACACATTTTCAACATGTGTTTGTAGTCCTTTAATTGCCAGTGGTATAGATTCTAGAACTACATTTTTTAGGATGTCATTGTTTTGAAGTTTTATCCAAAATAACCATTGAAAAGGAAGCACATGAAACTGGAGTGCTTTTCTGCCTTGCTTGAGGGAAATTAAAATTTTAGCCACAGTAAGAGGTTTTCAGCAGGTCAGATTCTTGTGTTGGTTTCTATTGCACTTCACAAATCCAGAGCTTTCAGTGTGGAACTCTCACTGCAAGAGCTGTTCTCCTTTCTCAAGCACTGGGTCTAGCTTCAGCCTCTCTGAAGGATGATTTTTCATCTTCCCTCCCCACATAGCAGTTATCAGTGCTTTTTGGATGTGCAGACATCAGAAAGCATCTATGACTCCCTTCCCTGTGTTTTGTAGAGGGAGATAAGACTGTTCCACAGAGAGCTTGAAACTATTCTTAAATTTAGGGTCATTTCAGCCGTTCTTAAAGCGTGACCTGCCAGGAATAGCAGCTCAAAGGAAAGTCATCAAGTCTTAAGAATGTTATTGGACAAGTAAAGGAATTAAGCAAGTGGGATTTTAGCTCAAGGGTTTTTTGGTGTTCTTTTTTTGTTTTGGTTTGGTTCTTTTTCAAATAAGAGACTTTTTATTCTCCTGCTTATAACATTGATATGTTCAGTATAAGCACCAGCGACTTTCTGTAAGATCATGGAATAATTTTCTGGTATTACTTCCTTCAGCAGATTCTTTCCAGCAGTTCTGATTAGGATTTTCTTCCCCTGTGTGTATGTGTGCATGTTTTCCATCTGGAGTTAGTGAGACACACATGTATGTACAAGAAAAGCTGAAGGGTGCACTTTTGTCATATGTTTTTGCCATAGGCTCGGTTGTGACTTGGGGTAAATTGCTTAATTGTCTCTGTCTCAACTCTCATGACAGTTCTTCCCTGCCTCAGTGCTGTGAACTTGGGCGTCTGCATGTTGTGTAAGTGCCTGAGAAATAATAGAGACAGCATTGTCTGAAAAGCAAATGCCACTCCTCTAGCTGATAAAATGGACTAGAGCAGAATTGCTTTGAAGTTTTAGGACCTTCTGGCTGTTCCAGCTGAGGAGCATCTGACTGTGTGGGTCTTTCTGTTGTGCTGTTTTTTGGTAGGTGTGGGGCTACGTATCCTCAGCTGATGAAGACAGTTGGCATCCACCCCACCTGTGCTGAGGAGGTGACCAAGTTGCACATCACGAAGCGTTCTGGCTTGGATGCCACAGTCACAGGCTGCTGAGGTTAAATACCATCCCTGGAGAGAAGGAAAAAGGCACAAAATATGTTTGTAAAGAAAAGGGGCACTCAGAGTTCAAACAGCGTTACTGGTTTGAATTCCAGGAGTCTTTCTCATTCTCCCTGTAGGCAGCTCTTTCTCACAGCCAAAAGAACTGTCCTTGCAGCATCTCAGTTCTAAAACCAACACAGTCCTGCTGTAACAAACCTCTCTCTCTCCAAGTGCCTAAAACTCTTCTTGCTGGGGGCTAGGAAATAATCACAGGGTTTGATATGGAAATGTGACTGAAGGCAGTGGCACTGAGGCCATCTGCAAGAGAAGCAGCTGTCACGGGGTTTCTCTGCTGGCACGACTGGCAGAGGTGCCTCAGTGGTGGTGACACGTGCTGGGAATCAGACAGGGCCTCCCTGGCAGTGTGGTGGGATGCTTTGTCCTGAGCTGGCATGGCTCGTTACTGATGCTAGCAGTGACTGCTGAGACTCTGTCCTCACAGCAGAAGCAAATTCCCAGAGTGTGGAACAATAGGTGAGCAGTCATCTTTGGGATTTTTCTTCTAAATGTAATACATACAGGAATTTAATAGAAAATCACCTGTCACTGAGGCTGTGCTGCTGCTGGAAGAATCCCAGGGCATTAATCAGTAGCATCCTGGGCACGACATTACGATGATGGCTGAGAATGAATGAGCTCAGAGGTGCTGAAGGAAGAGTTGAATTTTATGGTGATTTCTCTGCCTACTCCTGGAATTTTTAGTTCAGTTCAAATTAAATTGACACCTCTCACAAATTACTGCTTGAACAGTGTATATTAAGCAATGCTGACAAGTAGAATCAAACCTACTCATAATCCAACTTGTGCAGCATTTTCTGTTTCCCAGAATGCAGAAATCTGGCTGACACTGAGAAATTGTCTTGGTTTGGTTTTGAGCCTTTCTCACATGAGCTGGGTACCGTATCTGAAGTGACTTAGGTCTGGCTTTACTAAAACACATCACTGAAGGGAACTGCCTTAACCAGCCATGTAGAACAGAGACAGTCGTGCTCAGAACAAGGAGCTAAATAATTATCTGCAGACTTTTTTTTTTTATTATTATTTTTTTGAGTACTGGCCCGGCTAAGAAAGCCTTTCCCTGCCGCGAATTCCTGCTGCTTTCGGGCTCTCCAGAAGGGGGAGGTGCTGGCTCATCTGTAGCAGCAAAGAAACATCTGAGAGCGAAGCTGCTTCTGCTCAACCCTCTTGAGGAGGTGGCAAAGGCAACACAGAAACTGCACCGAATTCCAATGGAAGCTGCATTTCAGTATTTTGATATGCACAGACACATAGTCTCCTGCTCCCTTTACAGCAGAATAGTGATTATAGGAAAAGAAGAGATGGGCTTGAGGTGAACCCAAATGTATCCTTTTTGCAGTTAATTGAGTGTTTTCTCTGGGGAATTTGATATTTTCATTCCAAGCTTGTTGCACAGTTTAGAAGAATAGTCTGATCATGTGTATCTTTGCTATTTTTAATTTGATTGCTGTTTCACTGCTGCAGCACAGACAAATGGCTGGTTTATTATGAGGAGGAAATCTCTTTTACCAGGAGAACTGTACCTGTCAGAGAAACTGCTAGAAAAAAAAGGGATCAGAATTTCCTTGTAAAATAGTATGTAACAGCATTTATCATACTTTCACTGAGACTAGAATATTGAATTTTCAAGTATTTATTTTAACAACAAAAGAAATCTCAGATGCTTTCTCTACAAAATTTCCTGAGTTTTGGTCAATGTTTCTGGTCCATAAGCTAGGAAGGAGTGATGTGGTTTGGCTGCAAGTGGCGTTCCCTGTCACATCTGCTGATGTGCCAGTTTTCAGCTGTGAAGTCATCCATAAGTTTGTAGCTGAAAAGGAATAGTTTGAGTGGAAGGGTACTGAAACACTGCCTGAATTGTGCAGCTGCCTTTAGAAGAAATGATGAAACCTTTGTGTGTAAATGTGTGCACACGAGCACATTCAGAAGATTGTTTCCTTTAACAAAGGGCTTATGAGCACGGGGCAGCCAAAACCCTACTGCATTTCACAGAGAGGAGTTCATAACACATGAGGCTTTCTTAAAATGTTTTATTTAATATTTCAGTTAACAATTGAAACAGAGATCTTTCTGTGAGAACCTCCCCTGTGACCAAACTGTCCTGTGTGTGCACGCAGGATTTTTTCCTGGTGGTTACCTGTTCCAGCTGCCTTTGTTTGCCATGAGGGAAGGCACTGGTGCTCAGCCCTGTAAAATCAGCTGCTCTTCCCTGCCCTGCCTGTGTGTCCTGAAGGAGTCTGTCCCAAAGACCAGTTCATTTCATTCGTCATAAAGCTGAAAATAATGATTTGGGACAGCAAATGAGGAGATCTTAAGGAAATGTGTCCTCAGTGTGTGAAACTGGGGGCATGTCGCCTTTCTCAGAAGTAACAGAACTGTCTTGGTTTTAGAATTGCTGATGGAAATTGTTGCTATCTCTCCAGTAGCTGTTCCTCACTTAGGGGACAATGCTGTTGCCCCACTGCAGTAAAACATTCCCACCTGCAGAACCCGAATGTCAACATCAGCAGCGAGGCAATGACAACTGCTGTGACTGTGCTTTTTTCCCTGAAGGATTCACCAGGGATGGTGCTTAAGAATTGTTTTTAAAAGCCTGACTCTTGTCAGTTGAAACAACTGATGTACACTGCAAATTACTGGCTGCATGTGAAAATGTAAGAAATGAAAAAATTTAGTCAGGCTTCACAGGATGCCAGCTGATGAGGATTTGTTTGTCAAACCACACCGTGGTGCAAACAAGTCTGAGCTTTGCTGGGTCCCTTCTATGTTTGATTCCAATATTTATTGTGTTGTGCATTAATTAATGAATAAAGAATATTTTTTCGTAGTAAATGTGTGATTGTATTTGCTTAATTTTGTACATATGCTTTCTGCTTACAATAGATTTATTTTTTGATCTTGCTGTTTCCCTTGGTTGAAGTATGTGTTAAGGAAATGAAGAGGTAGACAGACTCAGACCTTTTAAGAAGGAAATGTTGATACCTCTCTGTATCTGTGTAAACTGAATAACCATGGAGATTTTTCCAGGCTGGATGGCCCCTTATTTTAAATTCAGGGGAATCTGTAGACTTGGTAAGTATGTTTTCAGATACTCTCCTGTTTATTGCAGCTAGTGAGGTTTGACAGGTATTTTCACTGTCTCTGCATGTTGACATCCTTCGAGAGTAAACTCCCTTGAAATACAGAGTATTGCACAGGGCTAAAGTATTCTACACTAGCTATTTCCTTTGGGTTTTAAACTAGAACACAAAGTGGAATAAATGCATAGGAACAAAGCCACTTAGTAGCTGTATAGGTACTGCTAGGTAAAAATGTTGGAAAATTAATTGAGAAATGACTAGCAAAATTTAGAACTCTGAGAAATTTCTCTGTCAGAAAAGAAAGGGAGACCATTGATTAGTTTATCTCAGTTTTCTTTCTTTAAATCCACTGATTTTGATGAGGAGTTCCCATTATGTCAGGTAATGCTGAGCTGCTGAAACAGGCTGGTTTAGTATTATCTCAGTACACGCCCTGGATCTGATGCTGAGAATGAATATTGACTGTATTGTATTGAAAGGCATTTTGATTTCTGCATTGTTCTAATTTCCTTTAATATTTCATTGCAGGTTCTAACTAATTAGGATAGCTAGTAACAGTGGCTAAAAAAGGGAATAAGGTAAGAAAATTCTTGATTATTTTTTTGCTCCTTGTTTTCATATGCCACTTAATCCCAAAGCAAAAAGAATTACAGACAAGCATAGAGACAACAATCTTTATAAACTGAGAACTGAATGCACTGCATTATTTATATTATACCTCATGATAATTTGTTCTCAATGCTAAGGTGTTGTGTACAGTGAAGTTTTGCCTGTTCCCCTTCCTGCATGCACTGTGTGTCGTTACAGCTACTGGAGTTCAGATACAGTTTCTGCAGTTGAGATTATTGCAGACCAGGAGCTGGAAAAGATGCCCTTTTTCCCCTGGCACAGTTACTGTGATAAGAGCACAGAAACGTCTGCAGGGTGCAGTGTGTGTGTAACCAGAGCAGCTGCACGTTGTGCAGGCTCTGATGAGAAGGGTTCTCTCCAGAGGCTCCTGCCTGTCCAGCACAGACAGTTCTGTGCCCGTGTAAGTGCCAGCTGTGTAGGTCCCAGTGCCATCAGGGGCTCGGTTAATGCTGGTCATTCAGCTCAGAGGGATGCAGGGATGTGTCTGAAGTGCTTTGCTAAAGGGGAGTCGATGTAGGCATGTGCCAAAACGTCTGTCATTGTTACAGTTGGGGAACAGGCTGCAATTATGATTCAAAAATAAAAGGTACAATAGACATCTATGATTAGGCAATGAAATATGCCTTTAATAAGCATAGTGCAGACAGTTTGTTTTGCAATACGTAAACTTGTATAAAATTCATTGACTTTTTCATTCTTTCAGATCTGTGTGCTCTCTTTTAAGAGAGGTTTTTTTACTTTTATGCTCAAAGTTTTCCTGATGTTCTTCCAGCAGAAAGGCTGGGTTTGCAAGCATTTATTCTAGTGCCAAACTTGGATTTTTACTGGGAAAAGAGGAAACAGCAGAGCAGACTTTTTTTCTTTTTCTTTTTTGTTTTTTTTCCCAGGGCAGCATGCAACAGATATGCTGTAATTACTCTAACTGATTTTTTAAAAATGGAATATTTCTGTCCACTACATGTCAAAGAGCTAATTATGTTTCCGTTGTGGTACTCAAAGTCAATATTGTCAGCTCTTCTTAGTTCTAATCCTCTACATTGAGTTTTGATGGGCCAGGTGAAATATCCCCTTCAGCACCTTCCTGCAATTCTTGTCAATCATCTTGCCATGAAAAACACGCATATTACAAAGGCTTTGGCAACACTGCATCTGATTTCTGTCTTTAATCTTATATGCACCTTAAGAAAACATCATTCCAACTACTGACATTCTGTTTGGGACATGAATGGGATCCTGTTTGCTGT